GATAGGCGCAATGTTTCCATTTTGTAGACCGGTAATTCGTCAGTCAATCAATTTCAGCATAATACTGGTCACGGACTGGACGGATATTTTTGGACTGCAGTGTGCCCTGAAACACGGAAAGAAGATCTCGCACGCACGTTCAGTAAATACAATCAGAGAACCTCAATGACACCGACAGATTGAGGAAACCCGATACATAATCAATGGACGGCCCCTGCCTCTCGGTTTATACCGCATGTTGCGCTGCAAAACTAAGGAGGACACCGAGTGTTACGACTGGTTCTTTTTCATTCGTCATTCGGATGAAACTTGATCAACTTTTTTTCTGATTCTAAACGAAAAGCCCGAAAAAAGGCTAGTAGGCGACGGAGATCCTTCGAAACGGGTTAGTCAGCAGAAGAGAAAATCTGCATACGCACATTTGATTTGTACACCGCGACCTCATTGAGATTCGAACCCTAATAAAGACTGTGTCCAATGAGGACAGGGGAATTTTAAGCTTGCTTTGTCCGTTGACTTTAAAAATATACTTGCTCATAAACATTTCAAAGAATCAAGCGGACATATCGAACAAATACAAACAGATATACGTAAACCTAACACCCTGGGAATGGAGCAAAGAACTTGGATCTGGATGACCCACAGTGAGATTGAATTATAAACAGTACGACGGGATTCGTCACATTTGAAAACAGATAATGAGATCTAGTCGACGTCAGAATGACATTCGTCCATGCATTCAGAAACGAGGCATAGTATGCGGGTCCCATCAAAATCCTAGTGGCTTATGGAACAAATCACGCAGTGTACAAACGTGACAAATTTAAAGAGGCAAAGCAAATGTGTTGCCTGAAAACGTATGATTCCCATTCTTGGTTAACCCCTCTGCAGAGATCTAAACTGGAACACTTTGATCCCTAATGCAATATCCGTGGGTTTTGTCAGGTCTCCAACTAAGTTTATCATAGTTCGGCACGTGCAACTAATTGAAGTCTTCCAGCGTGATGATTCCACACCCCGTGGTTTATTGAAAAACGGGATTCGCACAACTCGCCTCGGGCAGGATTACTGTAGCTCAAATTTCCGCAAATCAAGCAGTTTTCCGTACGAGGAATCTGGGGTAACCAAGCTGAGCGAAGCCCAATGTTCACGTGTTTCTGCGTTCCTGATGTACTGAGAACATGTACTGCCTTCCTAGGCACATTGTATTCATTTCCATTCTTTTGGATTATTGTCGGCAGTCGCGCTGTAATCGCTATGACCATGGTCCTGATGAGTGCGTTGTGTGCTGATTGTCATGGTGCACATCTTCACCGATATTATACACCTAAAAACTGGCTTGCTTATGCGCATAACTCGCACGTCTTAAGTTCACCTGCCAGTAACATGTTAGTCAATCAGTGCTGGTAGGGCGATATTCTAACGTCATTCACGTCAATTACCAGGTTACAGCGTCGACTCATAAATTGAAATAAATGCTGGCTTTCATGCATATTACACGCATGATCCATGAGCCAG